GCATTGTTTTCATTGGCTTCAAAGAAGATTTTTGTGTATGTGCCTTAGACATCTTTGTTTAAGGTATAAAAATGGATGAGGGCCCTTACTCACATTTATACTACAGGTAAAGTTATCAAGAAATCCATGCATTTCAAAGCCTGTCAGCTGTTGGTCTTAAAACAATCAGTAAGACCAAATGAATTTAAACATAACAGTACTGAAGACAGTTTAAAAGAAAAAAAAACCACATAAATTGCTTTTGCTTAGTTTGTAAAAGATCTTTTTCAGAGATTTCTCTGGATTCCTTACTGCAGCCACCCAGGATGGACAGAGGGGAAGCAGGACCCTTAATTTAAGAACAAGGTTCTGTTGAGAGGTTCAGACTGGGTCACTGATGTTCAAAGAACAGAGCATTTCTTTCTTTCTTTCTTTTGAAGATTTTATTTATTTATTTGTCAGAGAGAGAGAGTACAAGCAAGGGGAGGGTCAGGCAGAGGGAGAAGCAGCCTCCCTTGCTGAGCAGGGAGCCTGATGCGGAGGCTCAATCCCAGGACCCCGGGATCATGACCTGAACCGAAGGCAGGCGCTTAACCAACTGAGCCACCCAGGCGTCCCCCAAAGAGAGCTTTTCTGACATTTCTGTACATGGCTACACTCTGGCAAAGAGGCTAATTGATGCTCTGACCCCTGTATCTCTTTTCAATTCAGTTAAACGACTGGGTAGACCCACTATAAGAAAAGCCCCAGCCTGAGTCCCAGAGGTGTTGACATACTGAAAGGCTTTGGGCTCTCAAGGAGTTGACAACCCAGTTAGTGGAGATTAGTGGGAGTACTAGACAGGCTCCAGAGGGTTCTTTGATTTCTTGTACTCCTTCCACACCTCCCACTGCTCCCCATCAAATCTATTAGCAATTATCCTGAATCTGTCCACTGCTCTTTCTTCACTACCACCATCCTGGTCCAAGATACAGACTTCTTGCCTGGACATGGGCAGTGGCTGCCAATGGTCTTCTCACTTCTACTCTAGGTCCCTGGAGGAAGCTGAATAAGGTTTCCTAAAGACATCAGGTCCTGTTCTTTGGAATCTTTTTTTTTAATTTAATTTTATTATGTCATGTTAGTCACCGTACAATACATCATTAGTTTTGGATGTGGTGATCCACAATGCATTGTTTTCGTAAAACACCCAGTGCTCCATGCAGTACGTGCCCTCCTAATACCCATCACCGGGCTAACCCATCCCCCCAACCCCATCCCCTCTAGAACCCTCAGTGTGTTTCTCAGAGTCCATAGTCTCTCGTGGTTCGTCTCCCCCTCCGATTCCCCCCCCTTCATTTTCCCCTTCCTTCTCCTGATGTCCTCCGTGCTATTCCTTATGTGAAACCATATGATAATTGACTTTCTCTGCTTGACTTATTTCGTTTAGGATAATCTCCTCCAGTCCCATCCATGTTGGTGTAAAAGTTGGGTATTCATCCTTTCTGATGGCTGAGTAATATTCCATTGTATATATGGACCACATCTTCTTTATCTATTCGTCTGTTGAAGGGCATCTTGGCTCTTTCCACAGTTTGGCTATTGTGGACACTGCTGCTATGAACATTGGGGTGCATATGGCCCTTCTTCTCACTACATCTGTGTCTTTGGGGTAAATACCCAGGAGTGCAATTGCTGGGTCATAGGGTAGCTCTATTTTTAATTTTCTGAGGCACCTCCACACTGTTTTCCAAAGTGGCTGCACCAACTTGCATTCCCACCAACAGCGTGAGAGGGTTCCCCTTTCTCCACAACCTCTCCAACAGTTGTTGTTTCTTGCCTTGTCAATTTTTGCCATTCTAACTGGTGTAAGGTGGCATCTCAGTGTGGTTTTGATTTGAATTTCCCTGATGGCTAATGATGATCAACATTTTCTCATGTGTCTGTTAGCCATTTGCAGGTCTTCTTCAGAGAAGTGTCTTTTCATGTCTTCTGCCCATTTTTTGTCTTGATTATTTGTTTTTTGGGTGTTGAGTTTGAGAAGCTCTTTATAGAGCTTGGGTACCAGCCCTTTATCTGTAGTGCCATTTGCAAATATCTTCTCCCGTTCTGTGGGTTGCCTCTTTGTTTTGTTGACTGTTTCCTTTGCTGTGCAGAAGCTTTTTATCTTGATGAAGTCCCAAAAGTTCATTTTTGCTTTTGTATCACTAGCCTTTGGAGATGTATCTTGAAAGAAGTTGCTTTGAAATCTGTAAGTGTTACCTTATTTGGAAAATATTTGCAAATATGATTAAGTCAAGAATGCTGAGAGGAGAGATTATCCTGGGCCCTAAATGCAGTCACAAGTGTCCTTGTAAGAGAGAGGTAGAGGGAGCACACGGAGAAGAGAAGAAGGCAATGTGAAGACAGAGGTGGAGGTCGTAAGTGATGCAGCCATAAGCCAAGGAATGCCTGAGACCACCAGAAGCTGCTACAAGGCAGCTGCTTTTGGGCCCAGTGCTACTGATTTCCTTCTTCTGGCCTCCACAACCATGGGAAAATAAATTCTTATTTGTGATAAATAAATAAATAAATAAAAATACATTCAAGTTTGCATTGTATAATTTACTGTAGCAGCCCCAGGAAACAAACTTAGCCCCTCAAATCGGTTCTCTACACAGAAGTTAGACTGAACTTTTGAAGATGCAAATCAGATCATGCCAATCTCTTGTTTAAGACCTATTCATGAATTATCATCACAAGTAAAATGGGTCCAAAGTCCCAGAGAGATATTTGTTGGACAACTGGGAAATCTGAATATGGACTGGATGTTAGATGATATTGTGGAATTATTGTTAATTTTTTTAATGTAGTAATGTTAATTGTGGTTATGTAGCAGAGGTTCTCTAGTATCGGGGGATACATGTTGAAGTATTTAGGGGTGAAGTATCCTGCAAATTACTTTCAAGCTGTTCATGAAAAAAGCATGTATTTTTGGGGTAGCCTGGTTGGGTGGTCCCAGCTCAGAGTCTGTCAGTCAGATGTTGCCTGGGGCTACGGTTTGTTCCTCTCCTCATGGGCCTCTCCATGAGACTGTTCCAGTGTCCTTACAATATGGTGGCTAGCTTCCTCCAAAGCTGTTCCAAAGACAAAGGCAGAAACTGCACTGTCTTTATGACCTACCCTTAGAAGTCATGTACCAGCCACCACTTCTGCTTTATTCTATTGTTCATACAGGCCAGCCCCAGGTCACTGTGGGAGGGGCTTATTCATGGGTGTGAATACCAGGAGGTTAAGATCATTGGAATCTATATTGGATGTTGGCTACCAAATTGGGGGAAAAAAATCAAACTAAATTAAGTTTTAACCAAACTCTTTACTCTAGCTTATAAAGTCCTACATGATCTGACTCCTCTGCCATAACTTTTCAAATAATTCTTCTCCTTATCCATTCTGTTGTAAGGACACTGATCTTTCAGTTCTCTGAAATTGCCAAGTATATTCATGCCTCAGGGCCTTTGCACTACCTGTTCCTTTCATCAGCTGTGTTCTTTCTCCTCATTACCTACCTGAAGTTGGTCAAATCTTGGTTTAAATATCACCTCCTCAGAGAGATCCTGTGGTACAGACTAAATGTTTATGTCTCCCCCAAATCATATGTTGAACCTATTCTCCCAGTGTGCTGGTATTTGGAGGTGGGGGACTCTGGAAAATGATTAGGTTTTGAGAGCAAAGCCCTCATGAGTGGGATTAGTACCCTTATGAAAGAGACCCCAGAGAGCCTCCTTGTCCCTTCTGCTATGTAAAGACACAGCAAGAAGATGGCTTTCTATGAACCAGGAAGCTGGCTCTCACCAGACACTGAATCTGCTGGAGCCTTGATCTTGGACTTCCCAGCCTCCAGAACTGTGAGCAATATATTTCTCTTGTTTAGAAGCTCCCGCAGCCTGTGGTATTTTGTTATACTGGCCTGACTGGGCTAAGACATCCTCCCTCACCATTCATTCCGAAGTAGCTACCAAGTCTCTTGCTTTGACTCCACCTCTTTTTAATTCTCTACTTGGCAGTTATTTGATATATTTTGTATGTATTTGTTGCTGTGCTTATCATTTATGTTTCCCACTTATCGTATAAATTCTGTGAACGCTTTTCTGTGTTGATTATCCTTGGATCCCAGTGTCTAAAATACGGCCTGAATCATGTTGGCACCTAGTGAATATTTATTGAATGACAACTGAGGGGAGAAGTAAGTGTTCTAGCAGTAGTTTTACAGTGTTATGGGAGCCAGAGGAGAGGACGTTTTCCAGCCTCATAACCTTGACACGTTATCAGGTAATCGCTTCCTGGGCTGTCATATGGACTAGCCTGATGAACAGCCCTTTTGTGCTCTGTGACATGGTCTAACAAAGCAATCTTCTGACAGAGCCTAAAAGCACACCAGTCTTCCGGCCAACAATCATTCTTTCCTTTTTTTAAAAAAAATTTTGAAATGGTCTAAAACCCACCTCGGCTCCCCTGCTGTCAGGCACAACTGTATCCTTCACATCCTCACTGTGTACTCATAGCCCCCAATTTCCCTTGTGCACTGCCCCTTCCCCGCTGCTCAAAGACAGGGTGCAGCTCACTGCCTCTGAGTGGTCAGGGGGGCAGAAATTTCTTATGCCTTTCAGCCCACAAATACATCTCTACTACAGGAATGTCAGCTGAATTCCTAAATCCTGGTATGTTTCTGGAAATTCTGGAGAGGAGCCCTTCTATAGTCTGCCTATGGATCCACATCTTATCCATCATCTCTTATCCACATTTTTTCCCCGGGGCATTTCCTCTTGCTCAAATACACCAACATGTGTAGATGCCTATTGTTTTTGGCTAGATCCCATAGGGAGCTGGGACAAGAGACCCTTGCTGCTTAAAGTGGATCTGCGGATGGCAACATTGCGTCACCCAGGAGCTTGTTGGAACTGGAGCTTCAAAGACCTCCTGCATCAGAACCTGCATTTGAACTCAATCCCCAGCCAATTCATACAAGCATAAAAGTATGAGAAGCGCTGGTGTAAAATTACCTTGGAGTTGTCTTCATCAGGTGCAAAGGAGCTGAGGTAGTTAGACTATCTGCCAGTCATTAGTTAGGGGCCGCTGCCGGGGGGTGGTGGTGGTGGTGGTGAATTTCTTCCCAGGATGACCGGTTTACCAAATGCAGCAGGCAGGTGCATCTGGGCCTGAGGGTGGTCCTCCAGCAGAGAAAGGCAGATGATGGCTGCTGGGAGGGAAAGCATACAACCAAGGGGAATGGGAAAGAGACCCTAGTGGGTATGGGCAGCGTGCGGATCCTGCCTACCGCACCTCCCATGTGGGCAGATTGGATCCAATTTTATCACTCTCTATTTTATTCACTGTTGCCCACAGTAACCTCCTTTCAGAGGAAGTGAAAACACTTGAAACCAAACATCCTCCCAACTGGCAGCCAGGTTGCCGGTTGAAAACAAGTGTGACCAGGGTGGAGGGACAGGGAGTGACAGTCTTGGCCAAGCTGATTTCTTTCTCAAAAAAGTGAGTAGTCCACTGTTGAAAGTTTTTACAAAGCTGGTGATGTATGGATATTCATAGGTGTTTGTGTTTTGGAAAATGGAGGCTGTGCACTTTTGAGGAAGTAAATGTACTTGGCTTTCCTTCCTCTTTATAGGACTCTCCCCACATTTAAAAAAACAAGTTCCTGAATATAAATATGTATTTATATATTATATACATATAAATTATAAATTACATTATATATAAATATATATTTTTTTGTAGAGAGAAGGTGGATTAGGATAATGTGGTTTATTTTTAATTGGATTTATTGGGGTATAATTTACATACAGTAAAAAGTCACCCTTTGAATCCTATAGTTGTTTGAGGGTTTGTTTTTTGTTTTTTGTTTTTGTTTGTTTGTTTGTTTTTTGTTTTTGAGAGAGAGAGAGAGCAAAGGGAGGGGCAAAAGGAGAGGGAGAGAGAGAATCTTAAGCAGGCTCCATGATCAGCATAGAGCCTAACATGGGGCTCAATCTCACAACCCTGGGATATGACCTGAGCTGAAATCAAGGGTCGGAGCCTTAACCGACCGAAGGCACCCCTGTCCTTGGAGTTTTAACAAATGCTTACCATTGTATCATTCAAGACAGAACAATTCCATCAAAACAAAAAAGTTCCCTTCTGCCCCCCTATAGCCATCCCTTCTTCTACCCCTAACTCGTGGCAACCACTGATCTGGTTTCTGTCTCTATAGTTTTGGCTTTTCCAGATAGCATATAAAAATGAATTATGCATTTGATATCTTTTTGTGTTTGGTTTCTTTCCCTTGGCATAATGCTTTTGAGGTTTACCCATATTGTGTGTGTCAGTGTGTATTAGTGCAGCTTAACTATTTCTTTTCATTGCTGAACAGTATTCTTGGCGTAAATATACCAAGATTTGTTTATCTATTCACCAGTTAATGGGCATTTGGATCGTTTCCACCTTTTGGCTATTGTGCATAACTCCGCTGTGAACATTTGACAGACAAATAGAGGGTTTTGTGTGAGCGTATGTTGTCATTTCTCTTGGGTAAATACCTAGGAATGGAATGGCTGGGTCATGTGGTAACTATATAAACTTTTTAAGAAACTGCCAAACTGTTTTCCAAAGTTGTGCAGCCACCAACGCTAACCAAATCCAGAACATTTTCATCTCCCCAAAAAGAAACTCCATACCCATTAGCAGTCATACCCCATTCTCTCCTCCCCTGAGGCCCTGGTAAATACTCACCTACTTTGTGTCTCTACAGATTTGCCTATTCTGGACATTTCATGTAAATGGAATTATATAATATGTAGGATTGTTTGGTTTCTGGTTTTTTTCACTTAACATAATGTATTCATGCATGTTGTAGCATGTGTCATTCCTTTTCATGGCTGAATAATGTTCCACTGTGTGGATAAACCCCACTTTATCTGTTTATCAGTTGATGGACACTTGGGTTATTTTCACTTTTTGGCTATTGAGCACAATGCTGCTCTGAACATTTTGTACACGTCTTTGTATGGACTTGTTTTCATTTTGGAGGGTATATACCTGGCATGAAATTGCTGGGACATATGGTGATTCTATGTTTATGTTTTTAGGAACTACCAGTTGTTTTCCAAAGCAGCTATATCATTTTACATCCCCACCAGCAATGTATGAGGGTTCCAGTTTCTCCACATCATCTCCAGCCCTAGTTATGGCCTGTTCTGTTGATGCTAACTCTTTTAGTGGATATGAAGTGGTATTTCATTGTGGCTTTAATTTATGTTTCCCTAATGACTAGTGATAATAAGCATCTTTTCATGTCTTCTTGGTAATTTGTATGTCTTTTTTGGAGAAATGTCTATTCAAACCCTGTGCTCTTTAAATATCTGTGTTATTTATCTTTTAATTAAGTTAAAAGAGTTCAAAAGCAGAAGTTTTAAATGTGGAAAAAAATATACACTTTTTATTTTGCGGTTTGAACTTTTTGTGCCCTATATAGTCAGTATCTGCTTAACCTAAGGTTGCAAAGATTTTTCTCCTGTTTTTTTCCCTAAAAGTTGTATAGTTGTTGGTTTTACACTCAGGTCTATGATCCGTTCAAGTTGAGTTTTGTGTATGACTCAAGGTACAGTTCAGGGTTCATTTTTTAAAATATATAAATAATATGTATATAATTGCTGCAGCACTATTTGTTGAAAATACTATCCATTTTACTATTGCTTTATCTTGACATCTTTGGCAGTAATCCAATGATGATACACACACGAGTCTTTTTCTGGACACTATCTTGTTCCATTGACCTATCTATCATTGGTGTAGGTCTCTCCATGCACCAATATCACACTGTCTTAATTAGTGTAGTTCTTATAGTAAATCTTAAAATTTGGTAGTGTTCCTCTTTTGCAGAGTTGTTTTGTTTATTCTAGGTCCTCTGTTTTTCTGTACAATTTTTAGAATCAACTTGTTAATTCCTATTTTTTTTAAAAAAGACCTCCTAGGGTTTTGCACTGAACGTAGAGATCAACTTGGAGAGAATTGACAATGTAACAATATTGAGTTTTCTGATTTATGCATATAATCATGAAAAGATAATGTTTAGGAAGGTTCATTGCTTTGCTCAGTTCCTGTATGTTTATCTCTCATTGTTGACAGCTAGTCTAAGTCAAAAGTGACAATTTCCCTTCTCTTGCCAAGGTTGGTTCAGGAATGGGCTTGTGACTCAGTTCTCCAATGAGGCCGGAGGGAAGTCGACCCTGAGAGCTCTGGGAAAGGTGTTTCTGTCCTAGGAAGACTCAGGAAGAGAGGCCCAAAGAAAGAAAACTTTCTTTGCATGTCGTAATGTAGACACCAGGAATTGCTGTGGTCATCTGTGAGGGGAATCAGAATGAGGGCAAACAGCCAACATGAAGATGACAAATCAAAAAGACAGAAAGACCCTGGGCCTTGACGACCACTCAAAGCGAGGAAAATAATCGACCTTGGAGCCTACACGACCTTGTTTGTTATGTGAGAAAAAGACTTTCCTGATGGCTCAAGTCTACATGAGTTGGGGTTTTCTACATTCCTGAAAAATCACAAGCTATAGATTCTTCACTTAAAGAATATTTTTAGTTTATTTTCCCACTGTTTATTTAAAATTTGTATGTTGTTTTTTAAATCTATGAATTCAATATATGAAATCAGTCTCATTGTAAAGATACAAACAATACAAACCTGAGAAACTCAACACTGAATTGTTTACATAATATGGAAAAACCCAGAAACAATGTAAATGCCCCACAAAAAGGAATTGGGTAAGTAATTTAATGTCTGTCCATATAATGGGCTACTCTGAAGCAATTAATAATTTTGTAGAAGTATATTTATCTTAAAAAGGAAGGATGGTTATTATGTATTTTTAAGCAGGAAGTTATAAACAGTGTGTGCAATATGGCCCCGTTTTAATAAAAATGTCTCCATGAGTCATTGAAGATGCAAGTTACAAGTAATAGAAAATTCAGTTTAAACGCACGTCAACAAGCAAATGTATTCGTTCATATAAGCAGAAACTCCAGAAGTAAGATAGGTTTTGGTGTTAGCTTAATTTAGCAGCCCTGAAAGTTCCTTAAAAACCTAATTTCTTTTTATATCTGTTTTCTGCCTTCTGCAACATCCGTCTCAGCTGAAAGCGTGTTCGGGTTGTGGTGGCAAGCTGGCCGCCAACAGCTCCCGGTTGTCCAAACACAGAGAAGCAAGGAAGGTCTCTACCCAGGCCTCCAGTGGGAGTCCTAGGCTTTGCTCTGATTGGACCATCTTGATCACGTGCCTACCCGGTGGCCAGAGGAATGCTTTGTATTGATTGGCTTGGGTCTGCATTGGGTGCTGGTTCTTAAAACAAACAGCGTGGCAGGAGCCTAAGATTATCGTAATTTGGTTTAGCCAAACCAGGGTCCATAATGGAGGTGGACATGGGGTAAATCCCAAGAAATTGGCAAGAATGTTCTACAATGGTGTGGGGTAGAATGGATGTTGAGAAGCTCATCCTCACCACAAAAGAAAGACCGGAAGGATGTACACCGACGGGCCAACAGTGCTTATCTTCAGGTGGAATTATGGGGAATTTTGATTTTTCTTATTTATGCCTATCTGTTACTTTACATTTTTGACAACAAACATATTACTTGAATAACTTTAAAAAGAAATGAAGGCTATAAATATGAGGAAACATTGGTGTATAACACTCGCAGTATAATTAGCAGCTTGAGAGACTTAAAGCAGACATGTTGGCAAACAGGAAATAAGAATTTTCGGAATGGCACCAACTGTGCCTCGCGGAAGCTTCTAGCTGCCTTTCTCTTGCCTCTGTTATGATATTGTGGTCATTTCTATAGATGTAACATGAGATTTTTGAAGGCTAGTCTGGTTTAAAACCACGGGTTCCAGTGGCTTGAATGTTTCCCTTATGCTGGGGTGGGGAAACATTTTAGCTTTCTCTAGAAACCTTTTCTCTCGTCACCGTTAAACACCATGAAGTGGGCCCCAACTGCAGAAGGGACGTAAAAGGGGAGGCACTGTCCCTGGGTTCCTCTACTTCCTTCTTGGGCAGAAGGTGCTGAGTGTTCTTTCGGGTAGTGGCTACCACAAAAAAAAAATCCCCACTTTCTCTGAGGTCTTGCAGCTCTCTGCACTGGGAATCAGAGGGTGACACTAGTTGCAGTCAGCACGGAAGGGGCCCTAGGTCTAAAGACTCAGGGGCCTGAGAGAATGTGAAGTGAGGCATTTTGCTTGATTCACTTCTGTTAGATGCTGGGTATTGGGAATTCTTCATAGGATTCTTGGAGGAACTCCTGTTGCTCTTCCACATACTTTTTTCCTGGAAAAGAGAACCCATTTTTCCACTGGCAGAAAAGACCTCCACTGGTAATGTAAGGTAAGGAGTACGCATGTCAGGCTGGGCACCCTGTTTCCCACTTTTATTTCTGCTTGAAATTGATCCTCAGTTCTGCATTTTCAGAAACCTGATTTTATCCGATCATGCCCTTCTGGAATTATCCCACCGTGATGGTAAACAATCAATTGGCATTTTGGTTTCATGATGAGAACTATGCTTAATCAAAAGGATGGAAATGTACCAGTTTAGGTGGTCAAGGCACTCTGATCTCAGTAGGAAAATACCTGGGGGAGAAGAAATGAGGCCCGAAGGTGGATATTGGATGGTCTTAAGGAGCCATTCTGTGTTTCTCCTGGTAATGTCATCTGCCCCCCGCCAGAATGTCAACTTCACTCAAGGAAGGACTTTGTTTGTCTTGTTCAGTGGTGCATCTATAGCATCTAGAACAGTCAGAGGTACTCAACACATACCTAATAAATGGATGAATACGAGGCTGGCTAGCTGGATAGACGAATGTTTCTTATTTTTTAGAGTCACTGTCCCATGAGAAGTTGTCCCTGACTCTTCTAGGAAGATTAGAGTCCCTTCTCTGATTTCCATTGCATTTTGAATCAGAGCACTTAAATCATAAAATTGAAACTATTTGCTTATACATCTATCTTCCCTAAAATATTTTGAGCTCCACAAATGCAGGGATTTTGCCTTACTTTTCCATTTAACTACCCATAGACACTTCACAGTACTCTAGCACATAGCAGAATAAAACAATAATACTGTGGAAATCTCATGAGTATCTCTCAGCTTGTGAGATATGCTTATTAAGTAGATCAGGATATTACATTAATAGGGACCTCTTTGCTTCTTCAGTGGTGATGCATTATTAACTTCTTACTCTTTGCTTTTCATTGCTTCCAAGGGAACAAGAATCCTTCTATTTTCAGCAGTTATTTCAATACTTTTCTGCTGAACCTGTAAGTACACTGAATGGTGTCCATAGATTACACTTACAGGATCAACTTAGTCACCTCCTGATGTTGTACAAAGAGACATCTTAATCTCACAAGCAAACCATCTCCAAGTGTTAAAACAGAATGCATTATTTCTGGGAGGACCGCCGAGAGATAGCACATCCCTTTTTGGTTATGTGGATTATTGCTGCTCTGGTCACACAAACTGAAGTCTCCTGACTGGTCCCCACTCACTTTTCACTCATCCCTTTCATCACCAGTGGCCCTGCATCTGGAGACTGCCCTTCCTCCAGTAACAACACTTGCCTTCTGACCAGGTCACATTTCCTTGGGGCCCAGGTAGGGATTTGCATGGTACCACTCTGACAACTCTGAAAGAGCAGATGTCCTTATTGTGGCTTCAGTCCTGGGTCATCCAGAAATAATATTCAATGTTTTGAGACCAGACATTTAGGAAGTCAAGACATAGACTAAGTGGCAACCACATATTTAAGATCAGGGCAGGCTGAAAGTCTGAAACAAGGTAGATGCTCAGGTTAGGTAACATTGGCAATAAGCATGGCAATAACCATGATGTAAGCCTGATTCTTTGGTGGACTTTGTGGGAGACTGAGTCCATGGATGTGGATAGTTTAAGTGGCCAAGGGGTGGTGTAAAGGAAGGTAGGAAATTTATAATTTTATCGGAAGTTTCTCTGAGTATTGGACCAAGTCTCACAAGATCAGAGTGACACAGATATAAATTTGTGGGGTACATACCACTGGGATATATACATCAACCATTGTCCCCCTATCTCCCACCCTGGTTTTACATTCATGAAAAAGAATAACTTCCCCAGCCCTGTGAATTGTGTAAGACTGTTGAATCACAGACCTGTACCTCTGAAACAAATAATATGTTATATGTTAAAAAAAAAAAAAAGAAGATAGCAGGAAGGGAAAAATGACGGGGGGGCGGAATTGGAGGGGGAGATGAACCATGAGAGACTATGGACTCTGAGAAACAAACTGAGGGTTCTAGAGGGGAAGGGGGTAGGGGGATGGGTTAGCCTGGTGATGGGTATTAAAGAGGGCATATACTGAATGGAGCACTGGGTGTTATATGCGAACAATGAATCATGGAACACTACATCAAAAACTAATGATGTAATGTATGGTGATTAACATAACATAAAAAAAAAAAAAGAATAACTTCCCCAGATCCTCTTCTTGGGAAAAGGAGAAAAAAAAATCGCTTTTGTCTAACCCTTTAATATTCCTTGCAGGGCTGGCTTAGTGATCACAAATTCTTTTAGTTTCTGTTTGTCTTGGAAGCTCTTTAATCTCTCCTTCCATTCTGAATGACTCCCTTGCTGAATAAAGTATCCTTGGCTACATATTTTTGTCATTTAGCACCCTGAATATACGATGCCAGTCTTTTCAGGCCTGCCAGGTCTCTGTGGATAGGTCTGCTGCCAGTCTGATGTTTCTATCATTCTAGGTTAAGGACCTCTTGTTCTGAGCTGCTTTTAGGATTTTCTCTTTGTCTCTGAGATTTGCAATCTTCACTATTATATGTCAAGGTGTTGACCTATTTTTATTGCTTTTGAGAGGGGTTCTCTGTCATGTCCAGTCACTTTCCTGGACTTGAGTGCCTGTTTCCTTCCCCAGGTTAGGGAAGTTCTCCACTGTAATTTGCTCCAATATACCTTCTGCCCCACCCCCTTTCCTCTTCCTCTGGCACCCCAATTATTCTAATACTGTTTTGCTTTATAGTATCACTTATCTCTCGAATTCTCCCCTCATGATCCAATAGCTGTTTATCTCTCTTTTTCTGAGCTTCTTTATTCTCCATCATTTTGTCTTCTATCTCACTAATTCTCTCTTCTGCCTCATTTATCATAGTAGTTAGAGCCTCCATTTTTTATTGCATCTCATTAATAGCCTTTTTATTTTGACTTGATTAGATCTTCATTTTTTTTATTTCTCCAGAAAGGGATTCTCTAGTGTCTTCTATGCTTTTTTCAGGCCCAGCTGGTATCTTTATAATCATTATTCTGAACTCGTAGTTCCAACCTCTTACTTATATCCATACTAATTAGGTCCCTGGCAATCAGTATTGCTTCTTGTTCTATATTTTGGGGTGAGTTTTTCCATCTTGTCATTCTGTCCAGAGAAGAATAAATGAATGAGAGAACAAAATACTAAAATAGCAACAACAACCCCAGAGAAATATACACTAAGCAAATCTGAAGAGACCAGAAACAGAAAAGAAAAAAAAGAGAGAGAGAGAATATAATCAGACAGGTGAATAGAACAGAGCAATACACCAGATCCTGGATTTTTTTGGTCTAGTGGTTAGAAGAAACTAGCTCCCAAAATTGTAAAGAGAAACTTATATATAAACATATATAATTAAAAACAATGAAAGGATTGAATGTAATTGTAAAAATGAAAATTTAAAAAGACTTGCAAAAGTGGTTGCTTTTCTATTTGTAGAATTACAGCAATTCTTTTCTTAGACCTCTGGTTGAGTTCACAGGTATTCAGAATGATTGATAGCTCCAGGGACCAGACAAAACTAGGGTCCCCTACTCCTCTGCCATCTTCCTCCCTCCTCCAGTGAAATAAGTTTCTTAAGGACAGAGACCATATCTGATTCTTCTCTGTAGGCTCAGCATTTAGCACAGTGCCTGACACAAGATGGGTACACAATACATGTTTATTGAATGAATGAATGAATGAATGAGTGAATGCATGAATGGAGAAAATGGGATATAGGCATGAATTTTAAAATTCTGATTATACATTTTTTTTGATCATTCAAAAGTGGTTGAATGATAACACAGCTGAGGTTTTCAACATTAATAATTTTTTGTCACCAATACTTACAATGTAATTTCTATTGAGAAATACAAAATATAGTTACAAATAATGTTTGCCAAATAGCATTAATAACAATAATATGCTTTTTATTTGGGAATAAGTTTATTAAATAAACAGATAAATATAATGCTCATATTTTAAGATTATCACAAGGATAAATATTGAAATAACCATATGCTCTATAAATATGATTCAAAATTCTATGCCATTTCTAAAAGACAAATATAAATGCTAATGAAAATAACCAAGAACTTTAATAACTTGGTATAAGTGGACTTTGCTATGGAAAAATGCAAGTCTATCCATATGGTAATAGACTCTGCTGTGGTCAGGGAGCTTATATCCCTGCCAAAGAAACTTTGAAAATATACAGGATTCTGAAAACTGAGAGAAATCAATTATATAATAGTTAAGTAAAAGTTCAAGTTAATAATCAACTATGTGCTAAGTAAAATTTACAGAGAAGGCAAAAGTTAAGGCATTCCACGGGTTTTACTTTCAATTATAAATCATACAGTATTCAGGTAAAGAGAATCGACTTTGCATGACATATGTAATCAAGTATAATATATATTACTCAAAGATACCTACTGCAGATAAGAGTATTTCACAAGCAATGTGTGTTATATGTGGATTTCAAAACTAAGGGGGTTCTATTGCATCAGTGAAACAAATCACAGCCTGTAAAAAAGGTTAGTAAGAATAGCTATAATTACATTATACCTTAATTGGGAGAAATAGAATTAAACCTGACAGAAAGTTTACAATAATCCCCAGTGCTGAGTCAGAGAGAGAAAGCTAAAGAGCTTCATGGAATCTGCTGATTTCAGGTCTGCCAAGAATGCACTGATAAAACATCTGGTTTATGGCTAAAGCCAGGTGTGGTCTGCTGAGACAGAAAGGGTGTGTGTTGTTGCTTAGGATTGGCCGACTATTTTAACTGTGCAAGAAAGAAAGCCATTGACTATGGTATAGACAATTTCCTATCAGCAAAACACACAATTCACTATCTAGGCAGCTATTGTTGATTTATAAGCTTTAATAATGTTAAATGATACATAGGTAAATTAATTTTTGAAAAGCTTAATAATTTCAATAATGAAACATTAAAATAGCTCCAGGGATGCCTGGGTGGCTCTCTCTCATTCTCTCTCTCTGACAAATAAATAAATAAATAAATAAACCTTAAAAAATAAAATAAAATAAAATAGCTTCAGCATATTTCAAAAATAAATGCAAAACCAGGAGACCAAAGACAAAATCCTCTCAGATTCTGGGAAATAGTATTGGAAATTAATCACATGCTTAGCAACATACAGATTGCTGTTTGCTTTTTGTGGTTTTTAGACATCATATTGACCTTTGGCATCTTGAGAGATAAGGAGGAAAGGAGAAAAATGCTATCTGTTTATTGAATGCTAGGTTAGTGTCAGGGGCTCAGGACCGTGTAGGTTCCATGATGTCAGAGACTTGGTGTGTTTTGGTTACTGAGGTATCTCCAACTCTTGGATTCACACTGGTGGGCACACATGTGCAGGTTTTTCCTACTATCTGAAAGTACAGTGTTCCCATGAAAGATTTTTTTTTTTATTTAAGATTTTGTTTGTTTATTTGTTGACAGAGAAAGAGCGCACAAGCAGGGGGGAGCGGAAGGCAGAGGGAGAAGCTGGCTCCCCACTGAGCAAGGTGCCTGATGTGGGACCCGATCCCAGGACCCTGGGATCATGACCTGAGCCAAAGAGAGACACTTAACCGATTGAGCCACCCACTTTTTTTAAAAAAGATTTTATTTACTTATTAGAGAGAGAGAGAGAGAGCAAGCAGGGGGAGGAGCAGAGGGAGAGGGAGAGAGAAAGAATCTCAAGCAGACCTTGCACTGATCATGGAGCCCAATGAGGGGCTGGATCTCATGACCCTGAGATCATGACCTGGGCCAAAATCAAGTTGGCTGCTTAACTGACTGAGCCACCTAGGCACCCCACCCATGAAACCTTTTGTAAGCCAAAAGGGCAAAAGGGCATAAAGCAAAGAAGCAATTACCATTAATTTATATGGAGAAATTTGTGAACATTCCCAGACCCAAAAAAAATCACTTCCCATTGACTCTTCTCATATCATAGGACATATCTTGCTAATGGATGCCCAAAATAAATCGATGTGAAGCTCACAGACATAGTTTAAAACTCTGGCAGCCTGAAGCTGAGTTGCTGAGCATGGTCCTGGGGAAGGACGTGGTGGTGGGGGGGCTCTCCATGCTTGGGGTGCGTGCTGCCTCTATAATGGCTCCAACAACTGTGGAATGCTATTGTGGATTTTTTGCCTTTTTTTCAGTTCGTGAAAACAGGAACCAATGTTGGTCTTTCACAAAAGTGAAGTGGAGAAACATGAACTTTCGAAAATTGGATGATACCTCTAGCTGAAATTCACCAGCTGAGTGAAGACATGTCTATGTGTCGAGATGGCTACTTTTGTTCTTAGTCCATGCCAATGCAGAGAGCTCCATCTAAGCAGAATTGAATGACTCTTATTCTAGCCGGTGCACTGTAATTGCATATAAATTCCTTATTTAAACTTATATGAAGATTCGTGGAAAATGTTTGTTACGTATGATACTATTATAGTTAGTATTATTGTACGATCTTTTTCTGAAATCCTGGGATGGCTCCTTTGTCTATTTCTATCTGCAGATATATCTAGGACAGTGAAAAGAGCTTTGTCAATGTTCTTATGAACTACCTTCTTGTCAATACTTCCTCCTTGAATATTTATCTATATTCCAGGTTTGGGGATTTGTTTCACCTTACCCTTGTTCGTGGGCAGCCTGGTGTTTCAAAATCTCAAGTAAACATGCACAAATGCATTGTTTTTTAAGAAACACATTGTTTTTAACGTGTTTTTACACATTAAGTAGTTCAGAAAAGGCCAAGCTCCTATTAAAGCAAGGTGGCAGGTCTCTGGATTAATGAATCTTATGAGTACCTAGAAGAATATCTGTAGATAGAAATTTTGTCAGAACAAAATGGGGGAAGGAAGCTGGAGAATTTCCCTTTATAAATACAAAGGCAAGTTCAAACTCAAAAAGTTAACTGCCTGAAAAAGCACTCAGAAAAATGTGTGATTTTTTTTTGTCTTCAGGATTCACAGGACACACCTACAGAGGCTTTGTGATTTCATCCAGTTCCCACGTCACCTCTGTGAGCTGTTCTCAGATGATCAACAATCACAGCTAATATTTACTAAGTGCCTGTTCTTGATGTCGAGTGACTGGTGCTCAGTAGACACCAGCTTCCTCCCTTTCTTCCTGCCTGCTTTGAGGAGAAGAACAGAGGAGATCACCAAAGCTTCCCAGACGGGAGTGACTTTTAAAATACCAAAGAAGTAAGGCCACAATTAAGAGCAGAGGGGAGGACATGTTTAAAGTGAGGAGGGCATGTTCATCGTGGGAGAAGAGAAGGTCTCATCATTCGGGGAGGGTTTCAAGAGTTATTCTGGAAGTATCCACTTCTCATTGGCCTTCTGCCGGCAGCCACAGAACATTTGAAATCATTTCTGAGGTTTGTTTTCAGCCGATGGTCCTTTCCACTGGCGGTAAGTCAGATACTGGCCCTAAGCCTGGCCGGCGCCACCCGACTGACCGTGAGCACCCAAGAGGGGAAGGCCCTCCTCCCTCTCAGACATCTTTCCTCCTTCAGAAATTCCCAGGTGGAGGTTCTGGGGAGAGGCAGAATGGACCCACGGGAAGCCCTGCTCAGCTAGCTGGAAGGAAGGTGGTAGCTAGGAGCTGCTTTTCCCCGCTGGATCAGTCTGCTCGGGCTGTCGAAACAAAATACCCCAGACTGGGTGGCTTAAACCGCAGAAATGTATTTCCTCACAGTTTTGGAGGCCGGGAGTCCAAGATTGAGGGACCAGCAGGGTTGGTTTTCTCTGAGGTCTCTCCTTGGCTGGCAGATGATCATCCCCTTGCTGTCTCTTTACATGTCTTTTCTCTGTGCACACACATCTTTAGGGCCTATGTGTGTCCACATCTCCTTTTCTTACAAGGATGCAAGGGCACCAGTCCGATGAAATTACAGCCCACCCGAATGGCCCCATTCTAACTTAATTACCTCTTTAAAGACTCTGTCTCCAAATACAGTCACGTTCTGAAGTTCTGGGGGTTAGGGCTTCGACATATGAATTTTGGGGAGGACACAATTCAGAGCATAACACCTGCTAAGTCTTTTTTTTTTTCCCCCTTTTTAAAGAAGAATTCAATTCACCTGCACCAGTACGGTCCTGTTAGGAAAAAAAACTCAACAAACAATAACCAAATGTCATTTCAGAAATCAGAAGAATTGGGTTGGAAGCCAGACTTCACCATTAACCAGCGACACCCTGAGAGGAAGTGTGGGGAGTCCGTCACAACCTTTAGGTATCACCCTTCCCTGACGTGGGGCATGTGGCCCGGGGGGTTTAGAGATTGCACCCTGCAGGTGGACGGCCTTGTCCAAGCTCCAGTATCACCGTCACCAGCTAATTAACCCTGAAGGAGTTCCTTCCTGCCTCTATCTCTCAGTTTTCTTTTTGGAAAAATGCGAAAAATGATTGTGCCTCCTTCCTGGGCTTGGTGTGCTGATTAAGAAGTCAGCTCCCCGGGGCAGAGCCGTCTCATGCTGAGCAATCAGCACGAATATCCACTGTTCTATTTTGTGTCATTACCCTCTTCCTATCTCCCTTCCAGACCCTTCCCTCACGTTAGCACATATCCAACGGTCCCTTGGTTTCCTTCGGAAGTAGGGTGTCTGTTTGGGAATGGTTGCCCTCAGAGGTAAGAGAAGGGGGAGATCCTCCAGCTCAGTGACCCAGGGTTCATGGTGAGGGCAAGGTAGGCAGTGCCCCTCCGTGGGAGGAATCTGTCTCCCTCGACCCCGACCAGGATAGGGGCACAAGCCGGGGAGGAAGAATGGGCTGCCACCTATTCATTACCTCCTTGGAGAAATGGCTCCAAGTACACGTGCTGTTGCGGGGCCCCTAGCACCATCTTTTCGTGCCGGTATGAAGATGAACAAAGACCAACCAGATGAGCAAACCAAGGCCACATATTCAGAGGTTGCTAGAGCAAGGGAGTCAGCCCCAGTCACTCGCTTTATAGCAGAGCCCCAGAGGCAGGTAGAGGGGTGAGAGAGCTTAGGGGGGACATGGGGAGGCTTCAGGCGTGCCCTGATGGGAGCCTGGGGCCTGGGGAAACGGCAGGCGGGCTAACTGGAAGTGAGGTGTCTATGTGACTGGGTGGGGGGACATATTTGACTCTCTCTGGTTGGTCCTAAGTTGGAAGCAGGGACAAAAATTAGGGAAGCTGCCAATCATTAATCAAGTCCCGGCTGCTTGGGGCCAGTTGTTACAGAGATTGTTGTCTGGCTGCCTGGACGGTCAGACGAGACACCGGTTACTCTGGACGAGGGCTTGGTTTCCTGGCAGGTTGCTACAGGTTGTGGACCAGAGTTTAATTTTTATTTATGGGTTGGCCATATGTGTTTGTATATTCAGTTTCCCACCAGGGGTAACATGTTGCCCCTTAGGGATTTGCCCTAAGCCAGGCTCTTCGGAAGGATGAGACAAGTTGCTTCACTGATTTTGCTGGGCACCCATCCCGCCCTCCCCACATAGATGCTTCCAGCGGGATTTTTGTAGGGAGAGGTGGTGGTGGTGGGTTCTGATTTCATCAGGGCAGTTGTGGAACAAATGGGAGTCTTAGCTCCAGGGTTTTATTTCAGAGCTGAAGCCAAAGGAACATTTTGGGCTGGAGGAAAACAGGTATTTTCACTTTAGAATTTCCAAAGAAAAAGGCTCTAGGAATGAACCATAAGTGCAGGTAATATGTATAGAAGGGGACTTCTTACATGGCTTTTGTTGCCATGAGCTCTTGATAGGCAAATATACCTCTGAGAAAGAATATGAATTTGTAGGCTGGGAGATTCTGTCTGGCTGCATGGTCCTGAATAAATTACTCATCTTTCTGAGTTCTCATAAATAAATTAAAGGTGATAAAACCCTCATTGATTTTGCAGATTTGCAACCCTCCCGGAGATTTTGTGTCTACAAGAAGAATTCTAAGCCACTTGCTTTGATAGTAGTGTCTTCACCATGTACGTTTGTCCTCTGCCAGGCTGCCTGCTCTGCAGAGCGCCTCTCAGACACCACTGTGCAAGCAGCGGTGGGCATCTCATGTGGCCTCTTAACCTGTGGCAGGCGCTGCTCCTGATTTTGATCATGCCAGGTTCCTTCTTGCCTGCGGAGTGAATTTTAACTCTTGGAATGGAATCAAGGCCCTCAAAATCTGGTCCCGGACTTTGTCCGTCCTTAGTCCTCTGAATAAGCCCTCAGTCCACCCAACTGGATCTGCTCATTGTCCCCTGAACCTCCCAGGTTTTGCCTTACCTTGGCTCTTGGCATTTTCTATTGCCTGCAATCCGCACTTCTCCTCATCTCCATCCACCTCACCTTTGACCCTGCTTTGCTCTAGTTTTCAACCTTGAAAGGCTGGATTTGAGTCTCAGCTCTTCCAAGAAGCTTTCGCTCACTGACTCTGCGACCCTTTCTATTCTGAACACCCACCCAACCCCAACCCTGCCAGGGACACCCAACTTTCTTACTCATTTGGCAGATGTTTCTGGTTATTATTACCTAGTTATATCGTATTCTGCTTCCATTGGGCGAGAGGCTTCTGTGAGTCAGTGCCTGTGTTTTACCACCTGGTAACCTCACTGCTTAGGATATGCACTGTATGTTTCAGTGTGGAGTGAAGATTGGTGGAGTAGAATGATGCAGTGATGTGCCTCATCAATCAGTGTGTTAAACTTATTAGAAAGCTACAGAAACTTGTTGCCTGAAACCGTATTAGATCTGGAGGGAGAGAGATTTATTATAGTTGTAGCTACAGTAATTCGGGGGGAGAAAAGAAGCTTGTTAAATTTTTTTGCAAAGGAAGCACAATGGTCGTCACCGATGCTCTGTGTAGGGTTTCAAGTCTTAGAACACAGCGAGGCCAAGCCCCGCTCATTGCTGTTGGGATGTGCTGTAAAATAAACCAGACATGTGTGTAGGGGCTGGTGGGGGGTGGGGGACATGCAGGTGCAAGGAAGCCCTGCTGAGCAGAAATGAGGAATCCAGCAGGGAAGCTACAGACATGACTGGGATTCTGGGCAGAATGGGGGATGGGGAGCAAGACTGGATGATAGGGGAGTTCAGCCCATCAGCTAGGTCAAACCCAGCGACAGTGAGCTCCGGAGTGGGCCCAGGCAGACAGGGAGGCTGTCACCATTGTGGAGGCTGCCAGCAGTGACCCCTTCATTCTGGGACTCAGAGGTTGGGTTTTAGGTCCTGGGAGGGGGCCTAGCAGGACAAGGCAGGCCCTGTTCTAGAGAGCCAGCAGTTCTGTTCAAGACTCAGCCGCGGGGAATAAGATGAGGGCATTCCAGATCAAAGGCGGGGCCAGTCTTGTCTCAAGAATAAGGAAAGGGGCGCCTGGGTGGCTCAGTTGGTTAAGCGACTGCCTTTGGCTCAGGTCATGATCCTGGAGTCCCGGGATCGAGTCCCACATCGGGCTTCCTGCTCAGCGGGGAGTCTGCTTCTCCCTCTGACCCTCTCCCTTCTCGTGCTCTCTCTCTCTCTCTCATTCTCTCTCTCAAATAAGTAAATAAAATCTTTAAAAAAAAGAAAAAAAAAGAATAAGGAAAAAGCCCAGATACTCCTGGCCTCAGTTAAGATTTGGCTCTTTAGGATGTGAGTGAGGGTGACTCTGTAGCTAGAGAGAAAAGATGTGGAGCTTGCAATCCTGCATGGCTGTGATGTCAGGAACCAAGGGCCAGAGAAGTGAAGTGAGCGCAGTATCCAGTGGAGTCACATTCCTCATTGGCGGCAGACCTAGGCTTAAAGCCCAGTTCTTGTGACTCCCCCAGGCAGGGCAGAGTTCTGACTTAGCAGGGTCTGCATGCCATCTTCATTGGGGCCCTCATTGTCTATGGTGGTGCCTTGAGGACAGTTAAGGAGTGTGCTCTGGGGATGAGCGATGAGGAGGCATTTAATGTGGGCAGATAATGCATTTTTCTCTTGATTATTGAAGGGTTCTGGTATAAGATTTTGACCAAAAAGTCTGCAGCTAAAAGAAAACCTAATGATGAGTTTGACAATGACAATGACCGTTCCATTTCTATTCCTCTCTGGGGGCTGAAAAGAGAGGAATAAATGCCTAGAGTCTGACTGCACGATAATGGCACAAAAATCCATCTGAACCGGAGAAATTCCCCACAAAGGGTGACAAGACAATATGCAGGGGAGAATAGATGCCTTGGGCAAGGGATTTCATAAGGAGCTGTGACATCTTGGATTCTCAGCAAGTTGCAGTAGCTGTCTCCACAGTGACACGCTCTTTAGGAAATCCATATAATATACTGTGTCCCTTCAGGGTCCACTTTATATACTTTGAACGCTAGGGGTCGACATAAAGGAACAGAAGGAAACCCATTTAAGCTAGCTCAAATAATAGAAGGGTGTGTTATATTTTTAGAACCCAAGGACAGAAAATGCAGAGCATCTCAGCAGAATCAGAAATTCAGGAGCCCAGGTGGTTCTCTCTCTGTCTTGCAAGGGCTTTTGGAGCCTTGCAGGGCCTTTGTGGTTACCTCTGCTTCTCTCTTACCTCTCTCGGTCACTTTCTTCTACTCACCTGTGCGCCAACCTGACTGGCGGGCCAAGCACATGACATCACACTCAGACTCCATTCTCTGTGAGAATTCTTCAGTCGGATATTTAAGAAGCAGACACTGGTGGTGCCTAGAATAATTCTCCATGAGTCAGATGTCTACCCCTAGTTCCAATCAACTCTGATGAGAGAGGCAATGCAACAGGTGGTGAGGAAGTGAGTAAAGCCATAGTGGGGAGGCAGATGTTGGCATCTCTACAGTAGACTTTTGGAGACAGTGATCCTGAAATTTGGGGGATCCCCAGGCTGCAGCATGGTGAGCCATTCACTGCTGTGCATGCTTGAGAAGATCTTCTGAGGCTACTACCATTTCAGTGGCCACAGTCCCTCGGTAATCCTAAGATCTCAACACCTTCCTGGACATGCAGTCTTCCAACTTCACAACAGAAACGGTATTTCTACAAATGGCGTTCAGTTGGCATTGGGGGGCCAATGACATTGGCCAAAGAAGAACTCAGAGCATGCATTTATTTGACCTTGCATTTGACATGAATATCCCTGTAGTGGTTGAGAGGGTGGGCTCAGGAGCTGTACTCTGAAATGCATATCCTGGCCCCTCTACACAATAACCATATGGCCCTGAGCAGGTTACTTAGCCTCTTTAAGTCTGTTTCGCCATTTGTGAAAAGTGCATAAAAAACCACTTAGTGGAAAATAAAACGTACCCCAGGATTGGTGAAGAATATTCTCTAAAAATAGTTTTGATCCCTAGAAAGTACTGGGTAAATGTCACCCGTGACTGCTGTCATTTTGTAAATATCCTTGTCATGTCTTATGGACCCAAATGAATTCAGGACTCTGCATCAGTGGCTTCCCCACATTCCTTACAGTTCTTGCCCTAAAGTCTTCCCCAGACCTTTGCATGTGCTAAGTGTTAACAAGTGCTTGGTGGTTCATCATCTGAGTTTTACAATGTTGTGCTTTGTGGCTCCAAACTGAAAAAGTTCTCACAATCAAAGATGAAAAAGGACGCACAAAGAATAAAACCTTGACCTGATTTTGAGCAATTTGCTGACTCTTGAGAGTCCGTCTTTCAAACTTTCCTTTTGGATGGTTTGAGTATGTGCCCCTCTCTTGAAATAAAGTGAAGACCCCAGATGATTTGTCCAGTTTCTTTGATCCATGTCAGTGCTATCTAAAGTTGTTGTTCTCTCTACAGAAAAACATGTAACATATTCCTTGAGATGTATGCAAGATCACAGAGCTGGAAAAACCACACCAGAAGCTTTAAGAGTCACTCTTTCTTGTTCTTTAATCCTGCAGGAGCCAAGTTGCCCTGAAAGATCATGAACTTGTCTTCTGAACGCTGCAACATATCAGATTGGCTGAGGCTGGAGGCAACAGTGAAGGCCTCTGTATACACAGTTGCCTTCTTCTTTGCCACATTTGTCACTGTCATCATCATCACGATAGTGTCACAGAATTCGAAGCTGAAGAAAGAGGTCCGATACATCCTCCTGTGCCACCATCTGCTGTGCATCTCCTCCTACTGCGGCCTGGGGGTGGTTTTCCAAGGGATGCGGGCTCTGCTGGCCAACAGTCCTATGCTGGTGTGCTGGGTGGTATTTGGAGTCCAGCTAAGTGTTGGAGAAGGGATCCTCTTCACCCTGGCCTTGATGGCTGTCAACACGTACCTGGCCATTTGCTGGCCTTTGAAATCTCTGTCCTTTGTAGATTCAGTTAAGTATAGGATTCTGGCTGGGTCTTGGGCAATCATTATATTCAAGAATGTTTGCTTATTCCTCATAGAGGGCACTAACCCCACTCAGGGTGCTGTTTTTAAATCTGAACCCCTTTGCCCTGTGATCTTGAATGGCTCTGCTGCCAGAGCTATTGGCATGGTTTTCCTTTTCCTTCTTCTGTCCATCATTCTTATAAGTTACTCTCTGATCTACCAAGAAGGGAAACGGGCTGGCCATTTTAATAGATCAAATATCAAAGCAAGGAAAACAGTCCTTATTCATTTAGTGCAGATGGGTTTACATGTAATACCAACCCTGATATTCATAGGCTTGGGAAAGATGTGTGGGGTGTTTTTCTTTGCTTTAAATCTGGTGCTTTTTGGAGTCTTTGCATTTGCCCAGTGTCTTAACCCTCTGATCTATGGGCTCTGGAATAGAGAGCTGCAAAGCAGATTGCACCGTTGGATGTGCTGTCAGCGGTGGTGTGGTCACATGATGACCAACAGAGAGCCAGTTTAACCTGAAACACAGCCATTTTGAATCAATAACTCTAGCCCTAATGGATCATCAGCTGGGCTTGAGGACTTGCCTTCTACTCAACCTAAAATTGGTGCTTGGTTTGATGTTGAAAGCAATACGAATAAGTCAGAGTTATTAATCTGGCTTGCAAACTTCGCTGCTGTGTACACTGAACTGGCCTCTGTGAGATCATTTTATGTCTTTAATTCTAAACCCAGATCAACATTCTTAGCAGCATGTCCTACTGTGTTTCAATAATGAGGCAGATTTGAGAATGCACTTGAGAATGTTTTTAAAAATTGACAAACAGTCCATGGTTGATATGAAGAGAAGAAGTTAACTTGGCTTTTCCTCTTATATTAATTAAGCATAGGATTGGCTATATGTAACAGCAAAACAGAAACAAAATAACAATGATTTTTTAAGGTTTGAGATTGTCTGTCTGTTTTTTTTTTCTGTTGTAAAAGAAATCTGGAGGTAAAAAATCCAGTCCTATACAGCAGCTCTGTAGGCAACAGGTTCATGCTCTTCTATTCTGCCATGATTACTATACTACCTCATGACCCAAGATGGCTGTTAGTGGTCCTGTCATCACATTCATACTCCAGCCAACAGGAAGGAGGAAGGGGCAAAGGAGGGTTTATACCTTCCTTCTAAAGACACTTTTTAGAAATTACACAAAACACTTTTTCTTATATTTAACTGGCTAAAACTTAGTCATATGACGATGCCTGGCTTTAAGGGAGAGCGGGAATAAATTTTAGCTGGGTGGTAGTGTCACTAGCTAAAAATTGGGGTTCTTGTTACTAAGAAAGGAAGGAAGAATGGATATTAGGAAGCAAACTTATTTCAGGGGCCATTTTCCTCTCAACCAAATAAAGTATAAAGAAAGACAATGGATGGGTTATAATCACAAAAATATACTCTGCCTCTTTCAATATGATACTTGGAGTTAACTTTTCAAGATCCCAGAACACTTTAATTGTATTATGTTAACAGTTCTCAAAGAGAATGGCATCAAGAAGAACAATGAACTGGTTTAAACATGGGAATTAACTCATGATTTAAATCTAAGCCATTTTGAGACAATAGTACAAAATAAAGTCTTTCACGGGAATTTACATATGAGATTTCTTTAGATGAAGCATCCACTTCTAAGTTAGTCAGGATTCAGTTCTAGAAACAGGAATCATCACTCCAGGTACTTTAGACACATGGGATTTAATATGGGACTTAGATGCTTACAAAGACGCTGGCGGGGCTGGAGGAGTGGAAATCAGGAGCCACCACTTGTTGGTGTCAAGATTCCACTGCAGCTGGGATCTGGTGGTCCAGCAGCTGCTTCCACCATTGCCCCCCATGCCTCAGGCCCCTCTTAATGTAGTAAGTTTGCAAAAGAAAGAGCAACCGGAAGATGGCCTCCACTTCCTTCCATCTTCCAAATCTCAAGTGATTGCTTCTAACTGGTGGAACCTATCTGGCATCCAGACCCTAAGAAAAAGGAGTCTGGGAAATGTAGTTACTAGTTTCACAGGAACAGGAAGTTATCCCCAAATGGGGGTGAAATGAGGATTGAGAGAGCCAATCCATGGGATCCACCATTATGACATTTAGTTTTATTTACAGGTGATAACAACAACAGAAGCATAATAGTTGCTCAACACATGAGCAACTATTATGCTTCTGACACCATGCAAGTCATTTCATATACACAAAACCAAATCCCCACAACAGGTATATAATGTACGTATTATTATTCCTGATTTACAAATGAGAAAAGCTGAGGCTTAGAAAGGCCTTACAGGAGCTTAGGAGGACAGGACCTTCCCTTTCAGATTTTCCATTCACATGACTTGGCCAAAGGTGACCATTTCATCACCCTTGAGAGCTGGACCAATTGCTTAGGAAATTTGGGCTTCAGTTTTCCACTTTGCTTTGGGTGTGGACACCTGCCTTGTGGAAAAGAGCCTCTTTTTCACCCACTGCTTTGATTACACCCTCCCATCCTTAGGCCCCCACCTTGTTTTCAGATTCTAGTGGCTTCCATATCATGTCTGGACCCCATTTTGGCTCCAAGTCCTTCTTGCCTCTTCTCTGGGTGTTCAGTGTGTCTTCTCTCTTCCTCCATTCTCAACTCTGAGATTTCAAAGCATGACCTTCTATTCTGCAATATGCACGTCTCTCCAAGGCAGGAGAGACTGCCAGGGCTGATTACCTTTGTGTCTTGGCACGTGACACAGTGCCTGTAGATGGCAGGCACTCTACAAATGATGTAGTGGACTCACTGGTCAGTAAGACATGCCCTTTTTACAAATTCCAACCCCACAGAACCCAAGCTGTCTCTTTGTTTTTGTTGAAATATAAAATAATCTGAGAGCCAAGAGTAGAATAAAAACTCAAAAAATCTACCAAAGTTAACTCAATTATAAGCCCTAGATCTAAAATACACAATTCAATTTATCCTTAAAGTTTTCTTTTTTTTTTTCTCTTTTTTTGGGGGGGTGTGTTAAATTTTTTTTATTGAAGTATAGTTAACATACAATGTTATATTATTTTCAAATGTACAATATATTGATTTGCCAATTTTATGCATTACTTAATGCTCACCACGATAAGTATAGTTACCATCTGTCACCATACAATATTGAAATATGATTGACTATATTCCCTATGCTGTACTTTTCATCTCTGTGTCTTACTTATTTTATAACTGAAAGTTTGTACCTTTTAATCCCCTTTATCTTTCACTCATCCCCCTACTAACCTCCCCTCTGGCAACCCCCAGTTTGTTCTCTGTATTTAAGAGTCTATTTGTTTTGTTTGTTTGTATGCTTATTTGTTTTGTTTTTTAGAGTCCACATATAAATGAAATCACATTAATCTTAAAACTTTTAAAATATTTTCTTATGTAAAAAGGTGACTTTTACTTGTAACATTGATTGTTAGAATGATAGTTTTATACCTTCAAATGCGAACTGTTATTTTTAAAATTAAAACAACTTTTGAATTGGGAAGATACAGTATAAAATTCAAAAGGTTAAAAATGATACTTAGTAAAAAGTAAGCCCTTCCCCCTCTTTTTCCAGGTCCCCAGTTCTTGTCTAAGAGTGAACAACTGTGATTAGCTTCTCGTGTTTTCCTTAAGAGATGATCTACAAAGAGCAAATTATTAAAAATTTATAAGGTCATTTTGGTCTTGATATCCTGGTCTTGGATTGGAAAGTTGTCTCAGCTGGTATTTAGAATGTTTGTTCATATCCTAAATGACATTAACAATAATCTTTCTCATGATGTATAAATCCTTTGCACCCCTTAGAGAACCTTAAGCCTGGGCAAGATGTGGAAGGGAGAGAGGAAGTGGTGGATAAAGTCACTTGTAATTTGTTGAGGGTTCCTATAAAGTGTTTCTTTGGTCTCTGGAAATGGTGCAATGATATTGAATTTAAAGTCAGAAGGGGTATATAGGTTTGGGAGAAATGTTCAGAGAACACACACTTCGCAAATAGCTCTGAAAATACATTACTTAAGGAAAAAATGTGAATTATCTCAAGATTCCTAAGTTCTTATGAACATTGCATTTTACCATAATAGCAACCATATTATTACTGCATGAAACTATTTCTGGCTTATCCATAGATATGCTATATAAACATATATTGGCTAACTAAGAATGAACTTGGGCAAAGTCCCTAAAAGCAAGAACGGAAAAGTGGTTCATAATACTCATCATAAGAAAATGTTGAAAGAATCCAGGCCATTGTTCAGAAGAAGTTCAAGACTGTAAAATCAGCCCCATTAATGAATTTTAAGCATTTTTTTTTTCTTTGAGAAGATCAAGGGCTATGGCTGGAACTGCCCTACTGATGACCAAGCAAAGATACATAAGCAATGGGAGAAAACCACACATTTACCCCTGATGGAAGAGGGGAAAGGATGCCAGAGTATTCTTATGAGCCAAGAGGAATTGTGGAATGATCTGACCTTGGGGTTGTTGGAAAAGACCTGTCTTTAAAGGCTTCTTGCCAAAGGAGAGAGGTCATCAGCAAAAAGAGGCTGGAAGTTACCACAGGCTACAGAAGATGAAGATGGGATGAGCAGCACCTGGCCAGAGACAAGGATTGCCCAAGGGCCCAGAAGGGGTAACTTTGATTACCTCCACAAAGCGCTATTGAAGAGAAAGAATTATCACTTGGAGACTGCCCCACCCAGAAGATGTAAACATCATCCTATATCTGCCTTTGGAAGGATGGTCTCTCCTGCCCCTTATATCTCCTCCCAGCTTCTACCTCTGCTAACCTTGCAGGAGTCACAGGCCACCTGGGGGCTTGGGGGAAGATGACTAGAAACCTTAATTCCCCCTTGAAATGTAGCAAAACACATCCACAAGTTCCAGGGATTAAGGCATCTTTGTGGGAATAGTGGATGTTATTCTGCCTATCACATTTGCTAAAATGAGATTGTTCTTTGGACCTCAAAAAGACCAAAGAATTTTTTATTATTTAAGAATGATCAAACAAAATGCTAATCCAAACCACAATGAAATCACACCTCACACCCATTTGGATGGCTACTATCAAAAAACACAGAAAATAACAAATGTTTGCAAAGGTGTAGAGACATCGGAACCCTTGGGCACTGTTGGTGATTGTTAAATGGTGCAACCACAACAGAAAACAGATTGAAGTTTCCTCAGAAAATTAAAAATGGAGGCACTGGATTGACCCAGCAATTCCACTGGATCCCACACTTTTAAAAGCAGAGTCTAGAGGAGATGTTTGCACAGCCATGGACATAGCACTATTCACAATAGCCCAGAGGTTGGAACAATCCAGTTGCCCATTGATGGATGAATTGATAAACAAAATGTCATCTATGCATATGTTGGAATATCATTCAGCCTTCAAAAGAAGGAAATCCCATCACACACTGCAACACGAATGAACCTTGAGGACATTGTGCTAAGTGAAATAAGCCAATTACAAAAAGATAAATGCTGTTTGATTCTACTTATGTGATGTATCTAAAGCAGTCAAATTCATAGAAAGAGAGAGTACAGTGGTGATTAGTGGGGCGGAGCTGGGGCTGGGAAGAGGGGGGAAATGGGAGTTGTTTGATGGGCATGAAGTTTGAAATGAACTTTTTTTCAGATTAAAAAGTTCTGGAGATCTGCTTTACAGTAATGTGAATATACTTGATGTTATCAAACTCTACACTTAAATTTCATTATACCTATAGTTTATGTTGCATTAATGTTTTTTAAAATTCAGAAATATTGCTGAAATACTATTGGCTGAATGTTTGTGTCTCCTCAAAATTCCTGTGTTGAATCCTAACCCCCAGTGTGTGGTATTTGGAGGTGGGGCCTTGGCAGGTGCTTAGGTCATGAGGGTGGAGCCCTCATGAATGGGATTAG